ATTCGAGTAAGATTCTCACGTCATTAGAAGAATTCACACTGTCTGCATACAAGTGACCGAGACTGGCGGACGCGGACGGGCGTAACATGTGGAACATGTCCTTGCCGGTAGAAACAAATAAATGAGTCGTGCTGCGCACAGCAAAACACGCGCGCGACGCGTGCATATCTCGCGCTCACTCTGTTAATGCGAGGCAGAGTGAGATATATCGGCGAGATAGAGTGTAGGTCTCGGTGTAGGTATGGTGTAGGTATCTGAATATAGTACACTGCGGTGCAGACTGGTGTAGATGGCAACCAATAAACTGTATCCTTGGATTGAGCATATTGGTCGGTCATCGCGCTTATCTACACTCAAAAGGAACAGTTAATGGGATGCAATGTACATATTCTGCTCGCTCTTCATTGTTACGTAGTGAAATCGCAAAAATTAATATATTAACATATTATTATATAGATTTGTTTATTGGAGAAAAAAGCGAAAAAAGAAATATGAATCCTCTCGAGCGGGATACAACAAAGTGTTCTATGTGTTTAGCTACAGTATTAAATACCGACTTCATATCGCATATCGTACGCTATCACAGATTCGAGCCACATTTTCAAGTTCACTGTAAATATAACGGATGTGGTGTGACCTTTCGTAAATGGAAATCATTTCGTCAACATTTTTGGCGAAAACATCCTAATGTACAAGCGAATCTAATAGAACAAAATCATCATCCTAATCCTGATATAAATAACGAAGATGACGGACACGATGACAACGATGGTGAGTTTCTTCTCTGTTTATGTTATTGAATTTTGTAATTAATGTTCATTATTATTAACATAGTCTATCACAAATAAAATTAAGTAAAAAAACTTCCGTACAGTCAAAAAACCAATTCCTTTACAAGTGGGGATTTATTGTGTATAAATATGTGTATTATACTTGTATTGTGTATTAATTGTATTCAATAAACACCATATTTGTAAAGGAATTGATTTTTTAATTTTGATGATGATTATAATCATTATTTTATTATTATCATTATTAATATGACTATTTTTATTATTATTAAGGGAGATAAGCTGTCAAAAAATATTGTCAAAATAAAACTGTAAATGAATAAGATGTGAAATCAGCTTTAACTCATGACTCGTGACTCCTTATGTTTATAGGAGATGAGGAGCCACGCGTGATTAATTCAGCAGAAAAACTTCGATGGCACGCGGCAAAATTTCTTCTAGAAATTCGTGAAAATTGTAGAATCTCTCAAACTGCCATCGATCATATAATTGACGGTGTTCAGTTTTTGATGGTGATTTATTCGTCCATTATACTGGTAATGTTTAGAATATTAAGGAAAAAATATTTATGACGTATTTGATAGCATTACGTTAGGTGGTTTACAATGCAATATTTTAAAATATAAATATTTTTGCAGGATGAAGTTCAACAGCATGTGGATCCTGTAACCTCCCTTGTTCATTTTGATATAGTTAAGGAAACGCACGAAGAGAAATTTCCACCATCAATGTTATTCTCCACAGTGAATACCAAGTACTCACTCGATAAAATGCTCGTTGAAGAATTTCACATGGTTTCTCCACAAAAATACGTTATTTGTGAGGAACTGTCATGGAAAGAAAACAATCAGACTCCAGGTTTATCGGACTTAATTAATATTGAGCGTTATGCATACGTTGTGCCACTTTTGAAGAATCTCACTGTGCTATTAGGTAATGACGAATTACGATTAAATGTGCAAAATCCGAAGGCACCAGTAGACAACGTCTTGAAGTCGGTGTTAGATGGCTCTTATTATCACGAGAACGATTTCTTTCGCAATAATAAAAATGCCTTAGCCATAATTCTGTACTACGATGATCTTGGGATTGCGAATCCATTGGGTGTACATGCGAAGGCACAAAAACTATCCATATTTTATTGGACTCTCGCAAATATTGACCCAGAAGTGCGATCGACTCGGAATACAATTCAATTATTTGCGATTGTTAAAATCTCTTATTTAAAAAAAGGTGGGCTTCAAAAAATATTGGAATTATTTGTCGCAGAAATTATAACATTACAAACCCAAGGAGTTACTGTAAATATCAGAGGACGCGGAGAAACCGTTTTTAAGGGATCACTTTTATTTTTCGCGGGTGACACTCCAGCCTCGGCACTTGTAGGGGGTTTTAAAGAATCCGTATCCGCTTATCGACCATGTCGCCAGTGTATGGCGACAAAACACGATTGGCATATAAATTTCTTAGAAGATAACTTCATTCTGCGAGACAATACAAATCATGAAAATCATGTTGCAATAATTGACGATCCAGACATCCCAAAAAATACTGCAGACTTTTGGAAAAAACGATACGGTGTCAATGCCAGAAGCCTACTGTTGGATATACCGAATTTCGACGTAACGACCTGTTTACCTCAAGATTCGAAGCATGTCTTGCTCGAAGTTGTGGCTCTTATCGCTTGTAAGGAACTTTTGCGATTTTTTATCGAAGAGAAAAACTTTTTAACATTTGCTGAATTTAATAACCGACGAACTAACTTTAAATACGGACATTGGCAAAGGGACGCACCTAGCGTTGTGTTACGTGAACATCTTTCTGCAAATAATAATCTACGTCAAACAGCATCACAAATACTTGTATTGTCTCATACTTTACTTTTTTTAATAGGTGAAAGGGTAATAAATAGAGAAGAAGATGATACTTGTGAGCGAATGGAGTGTCACACACTCCTGTTACAGATATTAAATATTTGCCTCGCGTACGAAATCTGTTTAGAATCTGTTACCCTGCTATCTCGTATGATAGAATTATATATTCCACGATTTAAGAGATTGTATCCCAATTCTATAGTGCCAAAATTTCATTTTCTTATTCACATTCCGCGATGCATTCGGCTATTTGGACCAGCGCGACAACAATGGTGCTTTCGGTTTGAAGCTGCCCATGCTTATTTTAAATCATTAGTGCCAGTCGTACGGAATTTTAAGAATATGGCTTATACTTTAGCTTACCGACATCAGGCACGGTTGTGTTCAATACTTGCGACGTATCCTGGTGCGTCCGCGAAAAGATTCTTGTACCAAGGCCATACAGTATATCCTGGAGTAACGGTGCTATTATCCAATTTGCCGAATTCCGAAATATTTAATAGATTCGTAGCTGACGCTGATAGAGATAGATGTTTAATATTAAGATCACCGAAAGTAGTCATCCATGGAACAACATATCAACAAAAATTTGTTATTCTTTTAGAGTGTAATGACGATTCACTACCTCTATTCGGACAGATCGAAGAAATTTTTGTTCTCCATGAGCGTATATTTTTTCTCTTCTCATTTCTAATGACCTTATATTTTAATAACAAACTTAATGCATACTGCGTTACAGAAGCGTGTAATAACTTTCAAGAGATAATTTGTGTTGAAAATTTGATTTTCCCTCATCCAGTTTTTCGTTTCACACTGACAGATGCAACGTATGTCAGCTTAATCAATCACGAACGTAATGAATTCATTGGGTAGAATGGAAATAGCTTAAGTCTCGATTATTATTCAGCATTATGTATTATATTTTTATTTTCCCCACACAATGTAAAAACATTAATATTAAAATCTTATAATTAAAACGTGTGCTAAGAACGTATATTATGCGAAATCTTATGTATGTATTTTTATAAAATTAAAATAAATGAATTATTATATATATTCTAGTAAAATTGTTTACTTATTGTACATTAGTGAATGTATAAATTAAAATGTAAATGTATTATTAAAAATTGTAGTGGTCTGATCTCACGACATGGAAATCAAAGTGGGTTTAATTGTCATACGGCGACCATCGACGAATATTAACACGCTTAAACTGTGTTGCTTTTTTCCGTGTTATTTTTGCTCGTGTGTTATTATCAACGTGTGTTGCATCGTAGAATATGTGTAAAATAGTATTTCGCGTATTGATTCAACACGCTTTATGTGTGTTCAAATTAACGTGTTGCTGATATTTGCTTCAAGTAAGTGTGTACTTTTTTAACTATGTTGAAACTACACGCGTGTAGTTCAAAACGTGTGTTGCAAAACGAGCAAGGGTGTAGTTTTAACACAGCAGTCGTTCAGTACACATGAATAAAGTGTACTGTGTTTTATTTCTACACACGTTAAACGCACGTCGAACACACTTATTTTTTGTAGTGCATGAGTAAACCGCGATGCGGTTTCCGAGATATCCTGAAGCACGGAACGAAAGCGAGCCTGTCCAAATGGCCGAAGACGCACCTGACGTGGCATTTTCACTTAGCCGACGAAACCGAGCTGAGCACGGCGCAGGCCGCGTTCGACCTGTAGTCGCAGCATTCGGCATTGACGTTCGAACGTTCCGAAACGCCGAATGCCGACATTATAATATCTTGGCGACGCTTACTACACTATAACTCGAACATCGAGGTAAACGGAGCATTGTGCTCGGTCAAATTCGACGGCCCCGGCAACGTGCTCGCCCACGCGTCTCTCTCGACGGACCAAGCGGGATTCGTTTCCGAGGTGCACGTCGACGGGGACGAGCCGTGGCACATTTACGTCAACAAACATCCCGCGGATAAGTTTTCCCTGCATTACACGTTGACGCACGAGATCGGCCACTCCCTCGGATTGCCGCACAACAGGCGCAAAACATCGGTGATGTTCGCGATACAGCCGGACCAGCAGTATCCGGTGAAGTTCGACCAAAACGACATCGTCGACATTCAACGTTTGTACGGTAAAAAAATTCCGAATGATCCGCCGCGTCGGACGCCAGCGCCGCCGCCGCCGCCGCCGTCGCCGGACCTGTGCAGCCTCGATCGCGTGAACAGGATATTGATTTTGGAAAATCAAATGTACATCTTGTACAAACGTTACGTTTGGTCGGTCGATCTGGACGGTAGGACGTACAACGGACCTTTAGCCCTCTCGAATCACATGAGCTTTCTTCACGACAATTACACGCGCGTGACCGCTGCCTATCAATCCCCGTCCGGCGATCTCATGGTGTTCGTAGATAATTTGGTATACTTGGTTCAATATCCGGAATTTAGTCTGCGGCCAGGTTGGCCGAAGACCCTGCAAGAACTCGGATTTCCCGAAAACGCGTTGATCAACGGAGCGGTGAACACCCACAGAGGACGTTCCTACGTGGTGTTCAACGGTAACGCGGTGGGCGAGATAGACGAATGCGACAAGGACAAGAGAGTCGCCAAATTTACGCCCCTCGAGGCGACGTTTCCCGGAATACCGAAAGGCGTGACGTCAATATTCCGCTACATCGACAGCAATCTGTACTTCACCACTCGGGCGCAGTTCTACAAATTCAACGAATTTACGAGAACCGTCTCGTCGGCCGGTAAATTCGATCTGCGGATACTGAATATCGTCTGCCCTAAGGCCGAACTGCTGCAGCAGTTGCGCGATCTCCTCGATCGAATCGTACGCCTCAACGATAACTCGCTAACGTCGGCAAGCGATTATTGGAACGATGACGACACCGGAGTTCGGCTCTCCGATTTCCGCATCCGCCGAAGGAAGTAGACTACCGCGCAAATTTCCCACACCGCGCCACGCGCGACATAAATCAGATCTTTCCTACTTATACCGACGTGTCCCTTCCAAGGCATCAGTGTCGCATCGTCGGCCGAATACGACGCGTCAGAAAAAAAAT